GCTGAAAAGTCCCAGTCTCTTTAGCCTCTCTTCATATGGGACCTGTTCCAAACCCCTGATCATTTTTGTTGCCCTCCCCTCTTCCACCCTCTCTCTTCCCCTCTCCCACCTCCTTTTCCCAGTCTCCCCCAGCTTTGTTCAATAAATAGAGTTTCTATTTTTGAACACACGTGTCCTTTATTTTGTACATCAGGAAGGGGGGTTAGGGAGGGGTAAGTGGAAGGAGGTGAGAGAGGAATGGGGTACGAGCCCCCGATGGGGAGGACTGGGCTGGATCTGCGGGCTCCTCAGGGTGGAAGCTCTCCTGAAGCCTCTTGATTGACCCCCCCCATCCGGATGGCAGCCTGTGGCAAGTGCAGCCAGGCTGATGGCCGAGTGCTGTGATGTGCCGAGTGTGGGCACTCAGGGCACTCCAAGCCAAGACTGCTTTGCAAGCAGGGAACCCCTGAGAACTGTCTGTCCGGGGTGGGGGTCGGGACCCTTTAAGCACAGCCCTCGGCTAGCCTGAGACAGCAGCTACATGCTCTAAGTCCTAATCTGATGCCCTGCTGGCACTGCTTCCGGCCAGCCTTAACCTCGGTTCAGGGTCCACTCATTGTGGACGTGCTAGTTCAAAGTAGCAAAACGCTAAGTCGAACTAGTTTTTAAGCCTAGATGCGCTAATTCGCATTAGCTTAGTTCGAATTAACTAATTCGAACTAAGTTAGTTCGAATTAGTGCTGTAGTGTAGACATACCCTATCAGACTTTCTCTGGAAGTGGTAAGATGTGATGATATTCTCATTGCCATCAGAAATGTGCTCCAATGTCAGTTGCTGTAGGCTGGTGGATTTAGCTGACTCTTTCATAGTTGCCTTTCATAGTTGCCTTTCTTAGTTCCTCAGGGAATTTTTGGTGTTAGACAGATAGACAGTCTGATAGATACCACAGGAAACAAAGCCTTAAATATGAGACCCAAGATCTAATGTAGGATCTTGTAAAGAGTGAGTGTCATGAGTGAAGCACCACCACATTCATTACCTTTTTTTGGGACAAGTGTTGCTGAGGGGACAGGCAGGTATGCTGTTTTTGAAGGTTGATGTGATAAATCCTACATCGCAGTATTTGAATCAAGAGGGCTCATGGGCATGGATCATTGTAGCAGATATCTTCTGATGGAATACAGTTCAGCCTCCTAGGCAGCCATAAATGTTAAGAGGAGTTTGTAGCAACAGTGTGTACTGGAGTGTTCATTGAGAATGAGTTCAGAAAGAGTCAGAGGCTGAAAACTAACTTGATAATTGGCTGCAAGGGTGGGCTTTAGTTCATCGATCTTTCTTCATTCAGAGTAATGAGGGATAAACGATACAATTCTAACAGTGAAATACTGATCAGAACTGACTTGTGTGAATGGGGCATATAGTAGGAACTAGTTCCTTCTACTTTGAGGAGTGTCCCTATGGAGGAGTGTCCAGTACCAAGACTTTCCATGAAGTCTGCTTTAGGTATCTTGGTGTCCTGCACTTCAAGATTTATAAGAGCAGCACCTGATGGGTTCAACATACATGACAGCCATCTCATGCCTCTCTGAGCAGCTTTCCAGAGTGCACAGCTGATCATCCCTCAGATTCTTTTCTACCTTCTTTGGCTAGAGTTGAACTGGCAGCAGTGCCTCTTCATTTCCTTAGGCAGTTGGTATTCCTTTTTCTTTTATCCTTTCAACCCTAGTTAGCTTCCATTAATCTTAGTTTTAATTTCTTTCATATTAAAAATAATTTAGTGTAGTTCCATTTCCAAACCTACACCTGGCTCGCCTCCATCAGTAATGACAAAATACATTTTTAAAAGGCTATCCTGTTTTCTCTCCTGGGCTAGCCCATCCTCAGATATGCCTGATTCTCCTGGATTTAAATGCTATCTGACCTACATGTTCCCGAAACTTATTTCAGACAGCCACAATCAGTGCATCCACTGTCTTGGAGAGAGCTATACTCCCCAAATCGTCCTTATTGTAAAGAACTGACTGCCAGGACAAGGAAGGCCAGGGACCTCTAACTTAAATGACTAGTGATGGAGAAATGTCTCAGACCAGTTTTTGACCCAGGGTCCAGGATACCTCCTGAGCAACAGTTGCCAGCAGGAGTCTCAGAAGGAACTCCACTAATAAGACAATTTCTAAGCACCTCATCCCTAAAAAGGTGACCAAACACCAGTCTCACTCATAGCCACAGGGAGAGCTGCCTAAAATAAAATGGGTTTTCAGAGAAAAATCTGCCCCACTAATGATGGTACTAAAAGCCTCAGACCAAGAAGCATCAGGAACATCTAGTACCAAGACTGTCCAAGAAGCCAAGGACCTAGCGTGGACAGGCTCTGTCTGGTGCATGATCTAAAGTTAAGCTCCCTAGCTCAGAACTAACCATACTAATGAATGTCCCAACACCTACTAGTGTCATGACACCACCAGCTACAGGTACACAGCTCAGCAATATTATCTATATCGTAGCTTTTCTCAATAATGCCCTTATCACAGACATTTGCAAATCAGCTACTTGGGTATCAATCCATATTTTACCAAGCATGCTCTGAAACAGCAATCTGCAACAGATGCTCAGTTTGGACTCTCAGTGCTTTCCACCACTACCAGTCCATCTTCAAAGCCCCTCCCCTCCAATGAGGAGCACTGCTCCATAGCCGGCTAAAGTGGAGCACCTACAGGAATACCCCTTGAAGAGCAGGAGAAGGTTACTCTGTACAGTAACAGGCTCTTCCAGATGTGTTCCTGTGGATGTTTTACTACCCAGCCTCCTCCCCCTCTACTTTGGGGTTTTCATTCAATCTCTAGCGTGGAGAAGGAACTGGGGAATGGATGGCTGTGCACTCTAGATAACAGTTGGGAGAGGCACAAGATGGCTGCTGACCATTCATGGTCATCAAGGGCACTGCTGCTACACATCTCTGATTAGAAGTGCAGGGTGCAAAGACAACTAAAGTGGTGCACAGACAGGGACAACCATCTCAAAGAACCTAAGTTACAAAGCAGGGTAAGTAACCCTTTCTTACTACCTCAGCAATTGGCTTCCATAATTCATTCACTGCAGCAACTCTGTAGCTCATACCCTAAAGCCACCTATCCCATGTCATAATGCACTATACAACATTTGCTTACAGAACCAGGCTAAAGATCTGCTGTTACTTAGTTGTGTGTCATTCCTTTGCAGAACAAGTGCGGTGGGAAAGGAGTAAGTGTGATTCAGTTATGTAGCCTTCTCCTCGAGCAAGGGAGAGACATCAGGCAGGGATGGAGTCATCACCTAGTGAGCTGCCTGTATTGGAGCGCTCAGAACAATGAAGAACCCAGAAGGAATCAGAGGCTATGAACTGACTTGATCATCAATGCATCGGTCCTACTTCATTCTTAATAATAGGAAGGGGAAATAATGCACTTTGTTTTTCTAAGTGCTGATCATGATTGACATGAATGGCTGTGAAATGGATGGGAAATAAAGCCCAGATCCACAAAGGGCATTGAAATGTTAGAGATTGCACCACCTAACTTGCAGGTGCCTGGACACCAAATATAATCCACATGGCCTAGGCTGCCTTTCTGATATATGGGGGGTGACATGCTTTTCCATATGGGATGCACAAAGGCCAGCATAACAGGTGGGGCTCTGCATGAAATAATACAAAGCAGATGCCAAAACAAGAGGCATATCTTAAGTTCTAGTCCTCCCAGGGTTTGTCTACATAGCAGCATTATTTCAGAATAACGTCAGTTATTCAAAATTAACAAAGAGCATGTCTACACTGCAAGCCATTATTTTGAAATAATGGCAAGCTGGAGGACTTCTTACTCCAACTCCTGTAACCCTCATTTCATGAGGAGTAAAGGAAGTCAAAGGAAGAGTGTTCTTCCTTTGACTTCCTGCTGTGTAGACAGCGCCAAAAGTTGAAATAAGCTATTTCAACTCCAGCTACATCAGTTGCATAGCTTAAGTTGTATTGCTTAATTCAACTTTTGCCCTGCTGTGTAAATGTGCCCTCAGGAACATAGGCACCTATCACAGACAATGTGCCTTTTCTGAAGTCAGCTGCCTAAACCATTTCTTGTAAGAATGGCAGTGGGGCAGATCTCACTCCATGTGATATTTTGCAGTGGGTAGTAGAGGAGAAAACAATAGCTTAAGTCCCTGTACATTGAGCATAGCCCTGCTGCCACTGTGAATGCACTCAAAGTTCTTGAGCTTGAGAACACCTCTCAGATCAGCCACTCCAGGCTACGTAATTAACACAATACCTAGTTTCACGTGGTTTGGGGATACCTCTGGGTATTAGACATGAGCGATTTGCCTAGGTTCTGGGAAAGAGGTGGCTGTGCAGAAGCTGAATGGCTCTTTTACAGGGAAAATAGATGCAGTGGCATTTTAGGAACCTTTTCAGTAAGTCAACTTAAAGTTTGGACTTTCTGACTATGGTAGGAATTACCTTAGTCAGATACGGTTTCATGTACCCGGGCTTCCAAACTGATACAGAATTCCCAAGGAGCCAGTGAAGCACCCCACTGATGCATGAGTGGAGATAAACTGATCTCTTCTGCACCCATATCATTTTTTCTGAAGGTCAGTGAGATTATTCATACCTCTCTCAGTACTGACTATTTCAGCCTAGCAAATGTCATCTGTCATCTTCTGACAAAAGGCAGTGCAGCTTGATATGCAGCCTCAGACTTAAGAAGAAGTTTGCAGCAGCTGTGCAAGCTGGAGTGTTGATCTGGAATGAATAAAAAAGAGCCATAGGCTGCAAACTGACTCAGTAATTGATTCCAATGCTGGGCTTCAAACCATCCATTTTACTTCATTCTGAATTATACGCAAAATTAGGGCAAAATTATACGCTTTGAAAACTGTGAAATGCTAATTAGGGTTGGCTTGTGTGAAGAGGGTACATGGGAGGGACTTGATCCTTACTCCCTCAACAACCTGAATCCATTGTTTTACTGATACAGTCCCATAGCTCACATCTTGCAGCCACCTACCCCATTTCTTCCCCCATAAAAATACTGGATTAGAAAATGAGACAAGAACTATGCTGTTTGTGAAATGTGTCATTCCTTTGCAGAGCAAATGCAGCTTGAAAGAGGTAAGTTTGCTTTCACATGTGTAACCTTGCATTCAGTCGGGGGGAAGGACAGATTGGATAGGGTGCAATGGCCACCTGGGGAGTTGCCTGTAATGGAGTGTTCATCAATGGTGAGAAGTTCCTGAATCAGAAAAGCAACTCTAAGGCTGGTCTTCATTCCATTGATCCCACATTCATTCTTAATAATGGGGGAGGGGGAGGAATAATGCATTTTAAAAATTGAAATGCTGCTCATAGTTGTCTTGTGTGGTTGTGAAGTGATGAAGTGAAGGAAAAGCTAATTCCTTACACATCTGCATTCTCTATGCCTCACACTTAATAAGTGCCAGCCCAAAGTCATTCACTTAATGCTTATAGAAAAATGCAAAACTATGTAGTTGCTCAAATGTATGTCATTCCTTTGCAGATGAACTACGAATGGAAAAAGGTAAGTTTACATTCATTTATGTAGCCTTCTCAAATTGAGGAGAGAAAGCAAATGTAGTGGAACTATATAATTACTGATGGAACAAAGGATGTTGAAGGCCATATAAATACTAAAACAGCTAGACATACCTGGGTTAGATTGTTTCTTTTCAACTGGTGGGTTGTTGGGAATATTTCTTATATAGGCTGGGTTTGGAGCATCAGGTTGGACTACAGAAAGCAAAAAATTAACTCATCTTGTATAACATCTGTGAATGCCATAAATATAACTATTAACATCAATAGACATTTAAATTCATTTTTAATATTTTTTTTTCAGAGGACATTTTTGTAAATTAAAAATGCTAAATTTGATGAGTCTCCCCACTCTTTCTCACTATTATATAGCTCAAATTTGCCACTTAGAAAATGGGCATCTGGCATTAGCTTCTGTTGGAAGAGATGCTGGGTGGAGGGGGCAGCTGCAAGGTGAGAAGTAGCTCCTTGCTCTCGGGCATGGTCACCTGGCTGGCCTTCTCCTCCTCTACGTAGTTGTCATCCTTCTCTGCCACCCCACCCTCCTGCAGTCTGACACCGGGAGTGTCTTGGCCTGACTGTGTGATGATGACAGGGGAGCTGATCAGCCCCCCTCCCTGGACGGCATCCAGCGTCTCATAGTAGAAGTAGGTGTGCAGTGTATCCTCAGAGTGTGTGCTGTGCTCTCTGGCCTTGTGGTAGGCCTATCATAGCTCTTTGATTTTGAGCCAACACTCTCCGAGGGTCCTGCTTGGTCATTTCTTGGCCAGGCTGACAGTGATCCTTCCCTATATGTCAGTATTGTGCCTTTTGGTGCAGAAATCCTGGAGGTTAGACTCCTCCGCCCAGACCTTGATGAGGTCCAGGATCTCCACACCAATCCAGGTCAGAGCTCTTCTGTGTCCCTGGGCAGTGGAGGCCATGGGACTAGCAGAAGTGCTGGAAGCCATTGCAGGTTCTGAGGGAGCATTGGGGTTGCTCAGACCTCTCTTTGATCAGGCCTCATACAGCTGGCCACATGGGGACAGGAGGAGGAGAGCAGTGGAGACACCTGGTGTGGACAGAGTGATCAGAGCTGCAGCTGTGGGAGGCCTCTGGAGACTAATTAGTTCAAATTAGCAGCACAGGAGAAGCCACGCTACTGTTATTTTGAAATAACTATTTGGGAATTAGCATTATTCCTGATGAAAAGCATAAGTACAGAGTTTGAATTCTATAGCCCATTATTTTGAAATAATAGGCTTAGTAGTGTGGATGTTCCACTTATAAATGTGATCTTGCGGGGGTTAATTGAAAATAAGGTCCAACTGTAGACTAGGGTCTACTGTGCTAACCACTGGGCTATAGAATAATCCAGTATGGAAGCTTCATATGTCTCATCTGTTGATGCTGAAACCCAGTTTCTAGTCCTCGGCTACGTCTACACTGGCCCCTTTTCCGAAAGGGGCATGCTAATTTCACAGGTCGTAATAGGGAAATCCGCGGGGGATTTAAATATCCCCCGTGGCATTTAAATAAAAATGTCCGCCGCTTTTTTCCGGCTTTTAGAAAAGCCGGAAAAGAGCGTCTACACTGGCCCCGATCCTCCGGAAAAAAGCCCTTTTCCGAAGGATCTCTTATTCCCAACTTCAAAGTAGGAATAAGAGATGAATACTTTGAAGTAGGAATAAGATCCTCCGGAAAAGGGCTTTTTTTCCGGAGGATCGGGGCCAGTGTAGACGCTCTTTTCCGGCTTTTCTAAAAGCCGGAAAAAAGCGGCGGACATTTTTATTTAAATGCCGCGGGGGATATTTAAATCCCCCGCGGATTTCCCTATTACGACCTGTGAAATTAGCATGCCCCTTTCGGAAAAGGGGCCAGTGTAGACGTAGCCCTCCTGTTGTAATATTTCTTCAATTATTTATACCAAGTGGGCGAGACTCAACAGAAACTCAAGGCATCTCACTCAAGATGTCCCTGAACTGACTGGTTATCACAGCCTCCTGCAAAGGAGGTGTTTTGCTTTAAATCCCTCCTCCTGCTCAGAAAAAGGAGGGCAGTGAAACTGGGTTTCCAATTTATCAGGTATTAGCCCCCCCCACCCATTGATTTAATATTTATTTTATTGAATAGCAAAAGATTTGGTAAGAGAGACTAAGACCCATAGTCCAGTAGTGAAGGCAATCAGCTGAAAGGTAGGGAATGTGGGTATGTCTACACTAGCCCCCTAGTTCAATCGAGGGAGGCTAATGAGGACGACCGAAATAGCAAATGAAGCACAGAATTTAAATATCCTACGCTTCATTAGCGTATTCCCTGCCGGTCACTATATTAGAAATTGACTAGCCCGAAGTAACTACCCGCGTCTACATGCAGCAGTGAAACGGGATTCCGAATTAAAACCCTAAATCAAATTAGCTGTTATTCCTCCTGGAATGAGGTTTACCAGCTAATTCGATTTAGGGCTTTAATTCGGAATCCTATTTCACTGCCGCGTGTAGACGCGGGCACTTACTTCAGGCTAGTCAATTTCTAAAATGGCAACCGGCTGGGAACACGCTAATGAAGCGCGGGATATTTAAATCCCACGCTTCATTTGCAATTTCAGTTGCCCTCATTAGCCTCCCTAGATCGAAGTAGGGGACTAGTGTAGACATGCTCTGTCTCTTCAAATACCTTCCCTTCAGCAGACTAAGAGGAGAATTTAAGGAAATCCCATGTAAGTATCATAACCATTGGGTGGATCTGGGTCCAGATATTTCTAGACTCTACCACTAAATCCCCCTACAACTAGTCTGTAATTCTGCAAAATATAAACAATATTTTCACTCCTGTTCACAAGTGGAACTCATGGGAACTAAGGGCCAGATAATCTTCTATGGTGGGAGTGGTTGGGATGAGGGAACTTCTGGGAACTCCAGGAGCCTCTCAGTGGAGTGTTTCTTCTGCAAAACTGGGTGGAGTTCCTAATTTTGAAGAAGGGATGGGGCATGGCCTGACATCAAGAATCATAGTGTGTGACAAGAATAAATGGAAACAGTAGACTTGTATTCCTTCTCCCATTGCAGTCAATAGGAATTGGTCATGAGTTTCAGTGGGTGTAGTGCATGTGTGCATAGTAATGACAAAGGAAAAATGTTGTCAAATTGAAATTATCCTTTGTTGCTTCTCCTCCTCTAGGAAGGGATGACGGGCATTCTGATGAAGGTAAGATTTTCTGTATTCCTGTTAATTCATCAGCAAGGGGCACATTTCACCCATTCACAATAATAGAGTCCACATAAAAATATAATTGGTTATTTCATGTGCGAAGAGCCACTGTAACAGGGTATGAAGTTTTAAAATTCCTTTGCTCTTCCAACAGCAGTGAGTTGAATAAAGGGTATGGTTGCTTCCATTGTCTTTAGGGGGAATTAAGATTGTCTTGACCTCCTGCCTGCCTGTATTTCAGTGCCCTATACACTGAGCACCAGATTAGGTAAAGGAGTGTATTTCCATTTACGACTAGTGAACAGTCATTCGCTCATTGTAAAACTATTGGACATAGGAGCTGAGACGGCAGTCGTTCTTCTAGATCAGTGGTCGCCAATCTTTTTAAGCAAAAGATCACTTTCTGAACTTAAGTGCAATCTTGGGCTACGTCTACACTACAGGCTTCTTGGCGCAAGAAGCCTTTTGTACAAGAGTTTTTGTGCAAAAACTTTGTGTGCAAGATCACATCCACAGTATTGGATGTTCTCCCACTTATAAAATCCACCTGGAACTAGTTCTAGCTGGGCTAGAGGCCATCAGTCACTCTTGAGTGCTGTTGCCGGAGCTCTCCAGAGATGCGTGCTTAAAGCAACCCCCCTGGACAGCTGCTTCTCTGTTTCTTCTGCCTGCTTGCTAGCCTCTTTGGCAAAGCTAAGCTTCAGCAGTGCCTGCTGTGTTTGCCCTGTACCTTTTTGAGGATGATACAGCTTTTTGCTTTCTTGCTGTTTGCCATGGAGCCCAAGCTGCCCCAGGGCATGCAATGGAGGGTTGGACCGGAGGGGCAGCTACAGCTGGGTCAGGGTTGGCAGAGGGGCAGGAGGAAAGGCAATAGGCATCATCTGGGGAGGGGAGATGGCCATGGGGGAGGCAGGGAGAAGAGGGATGGCATGGGGAGGGAGGAGAGGCATAGCAGGGTGGGCAGATGGATGGGCAAGAGCCATAGGAGAGGGGCATGAGGGTGGAAGGCAGGGGCAACGGCATCGGGTGGGAGTTCCCCCGTGCAGGACAGGATGTTACAGATGTCGCAACTGGACATCGTCTCAGTCCACACACGCTCCCACCATTCAGTGTCTGCATTGAACCTGCGCGGCTGGGTGTCGTGCATTATGCCGATGTGTTGCTGTATGAGCTCCTCCCCAGGCCTGGCTCATGTGCAGCTCCCCCAGACTCTTTCAGGCGGCTGCGGCAGTGGTGTGGCTGGGCCCTCCTTCCCGGCTGGTCTGGCTGTGGAGAATACAGAAAAGGGAGAGGCCGTCAGTCCTCCCTGCACACACATTCCCCAAGGCCGTGCTTTTCTGTGTGAGCAGCTGCATCAGTTCGCAGCCCACAGGAGGGGGATGTCCCAGGTGCAAGGCCATGCGCAGGCTGCACAGCATGCCCTGTGTCACAGGGGTCCCTGTCTCACAGGTGGCCAGAGGACCGTGCTGCCCTCTCCCTCCCCCCTGGACACACACCACGGCCAGGCAGGTAGGGGAAGTGTACAGCCACAGTGGATCCCCTCATGGCTGGCAAAGGAGCCGTGAGCCACCTGACCCTTCCTAGGGGCTGCACACACAGCTGCAGCTCACTGGGCTATCATTGGGAGCGGCTGCTGCTTCTCATGTGCAGACATGCCCATGTGCTCTGTGCAGCACTCCGGGGTGTGTGTGTGGGGGAGGTTGTGCCTGCACCCTTGAGACTAGCCTGCTTGCAACCGGCTGTGCCCTCTCCCCCTGGGGGCAGGACTTGTGGCCTGGCATGAGGCTGGCAGAGGGCTCCCGGCATGTTGAGGGGCTGGCTGCTGTGGCTGCGTGCCACACCCTCCCGCTGCAAATGGCCAGACTGCAGCAGTATGTGCTGGCCTAGCAGCCTATGCAACACTGTGCCCCGCATCCCCTGTGCGGCCACCTCCCTCACCCTGTGTCTGTGTGTGCCAATGTACCTGAAGATCCCTCCCAAGTCTCCTCGGAGGGATGATTATACTTCCAAGTGACCACGGGGGGCAGTAAACATGGGGGACAATTATACTCCAAAATGACCACAGAGGGGCAGCAAGCATTCCAGCCTTGGGAACCAGCTGCCATTAAGGCACCACAATTCTGGCCTGCCCCAGGGAGGAATGCTGCTGGAAAGGCACAGTGGCCCCAGTTGCATCGGCCTCCCTCTTGGAGCAGTGCCTATGACTGCGCCACCTACCCCTGCCCCATATGAGGGTAAGTCGTTTCTTGCCTTCCTGGTATGGAGTCTTGGGGAAGTCTCAGTTGGCACTAGGTAGCTGGCATTGGGTTGATTCTCTTCCCCTTGATCATGAAGTGCAGGGTTGGCCCTTCCCAGTTACACACTAAGCCCCAATGGATCAAAGCCCCACTTTGGGAGCTGAGCGCAGACTCTTCAAGTTGTGCAATTCCTCTCCCAGTTCCAAACTCAAATAGACCAAAAGTGAAATCAAAACTAATCCCTTTGTTCTTCAGTCAGCCTGCTCCCTCCCAATGAGGGACTGAGTAGTTCAAACTCCTCTCTAGCCCAGTAAAACTGCCTGTATCATTCCAGACAAAGCTCCGCACTGGCTTTTTAAACATTTCTAGCCTATTCTGTCCCTGCCTAGTCCTGACGCCAACTGGGAAATGTCATCTGCAGGTCTACAGACAGTGTTCTGTAGGCCAGAGAGTAGGACCCCGAGAGCCTCAGTTCAGCTTTCAGGAACCACGAAAATACAAAGAACTTTAGGCTACGTTAAAATGTGTGTCTCAGTTCAACAATGTAATATCTCTCAGCTCATGTTCTATTGAGAAAAGGTCTATCTAGCTTCGCTCTCTTATTAGATATTTCATTGGGGAGCTTGGCTGGTTCTATAGGCAGATTGTAGTTACTCCTTTAGCCCAGACCAGGTGATATCTTCACATCCCTGTGATTGGTAAGAGACAGGGCAGGACTGAGAAGGCTCACATTAGTACCAAGCTACTTTATTTCTCAGGAGTCTTCTTTCAATAGTCACGAGGCCAAAGTAGCATAGGCTTGAAAGTTACAAAAAGGTATGGAAATAGCCCTCCCAGCCTATGGGATTGGTAGTACTTGTGCAGTAAGCTACCAGTGAAGATAAGGGTACCAGAACTGAGCTCATACTTGTCAATAGCAACACTTTATTCTGCTCCACTTGCAAAAGGGACTCTTAGAGTGTGTCTACACTCCATTGTAACTCGAAATAAAATATGCAATTTGAGCTACACAAATTGCATATTTTATTTCAATGCTATTTCGAAATAGCTGTTTTTGTCATTTGGTGCTGTCTACACAGTGCCTAATTTTGAAATAAAATGCTATTCCGAAACGTCCCTTACTTCTCCTGGAATGAGGTTTACAAGGATGTTAGAATAGTGAGCCTGAAATAATGGACTTTCTGTAAAGACACGGGATAGCTATTTTGGGATACTACGGTATCAAGGTTCTGAGATTGTGAATGAAAGGTGCCCAAGGTGGGCAGTGTGTTAGGAGACCAGATAATTTACACGTTATTCTTTTCTCATCCTTTCATTAATTTATTTCAGAAATGAAAATACACAGCTCTCAATTAGGTATGAATACCATTTTTCATGTATTTAATAAATAGAGCAATTCAAGCAGTATAATCTCATAATTATTTTTAAACATTTTGTTCACCAAATGTCAAGTAACAATTGCTAGCAAAGACCTATTCTTAGCATAAGTGGGCCCGCAGATTCACAGAGATATAGACAGAATCAGATATGTCCTCACATTCCACAAGATATTTCCTATAATTTTCTCCAGCAATGGAAGCCCCAATTTCCAGTTGGGGGGATACAGAGTCCACAGGAACAGAAGTCCATGGGGAAGCCTCCCTGGTTCTGAGACACAAAAAATGAAGTTTGGGATAATATCTGAAACTGCAAAAAGACATTTGACTTATCTGTCACTTAGGGGAATAAATGACCAGAGCCCTACAAATCACATTATGATGTGTCCTTCAGGCAGGGGAGTTGACATGTCTGAGAGCTGTCATGAGAAACCTGCCTCGGCAAACACTATAACTTGCTAAAATTAAGTTTCAGATTTAGAGGCATATTTTAACTTCTGTTTGTTTCTTTGTTACTGTTTCCATCCTTGTTCCTTCAGCGTGGTTTCACAAACACCTAGGTTAATAAACTTGTTTTACTTTTAGAAAACCAGCTCAGTACAGTACATTAAAACCTGCACCATCCGAAACTCTGGAAAACTGTAGAAACCGGCAAATTTTTGATGCTGGGAAAAGCAAAACAAAACAAAACAAACAAAAAGAAGGAAACTGGCCCTTTAAGTTCTCAGACAAACATGCAGTATGTACCTGGGGGAGGGGTGAACGGCAGCTGGAAGCAAGCATCTTGGCTCCTCCCCACAGCTCCTGGCACCCCTGGAAGGCCAGCCCCCTCGTGACTCCCGCAACCCCCCCCTCCGGCAGGCTACCCCTGCCATCTCCTCCTCCCATCCCCCGGCTTTCACCCCCCCACCCCCACCCCGCAACTCCCTTCCCCCCACAGCTTGGAACCCCCCTAGCAGGCCACATCCCAGCCCCCACATGGCTCCCTTGCCTCCCCTGGCATAGGCCCCGCATGGCTGCCCCACCCCAGATAACCAGAATTTTTAAGTTACTGGTACGCCCTAATACCCCAGGCATGTCAGATAACACAGGTTTTATTGTGTATTAATTGAAAGGGTAAAATCCTCAGTTAATCTAGAAGGCTGGTGTGTATTGTGTATCTTTGGAGGCAGCAAACTAGAGAATTTTGGGGAGGAGCCAGCAAGAGGGCATGGAAACATCAGGCAATAGGAGTCTGGTGAGACTTGGGTCTGGAAGAGCTCAGCCACCCTGCAAGGAATAATCAGGCAGGTGGAACCCAGAGTGAGGTCATTGTGCTGAGACCAGGCTGTCAGGACTCAGAGCTAAAGCTGCATAATACTGAATCATCCAGGGTTGCAGGGCAGGCAAAGGCACACCATGATTTTGGGCTGGGTGAACCACCAACATGTCTTATGTGCTGTCTATGGGGTTAATATGTTGATTAGTCATATTGAAATACTTCTCACATTCTCCAGGGCAAACACACAGGTGTTGATTGATAATGTTTTTGTTTTCACAGAGAAGATGCAGAGACAAAATGGTGAGCTTACACTGACTTCTAAGCCATAACACTTAATACTAGTGAATGTCTTGTGTTTGTATGACCCACCACCAGTTCTTCAACAATCCATTATACTGGAGCAGGCTTCAACCTGAGCAGAAAAGGTACAATTCTTCTTCGAGGAGTGTCCATGTGGGTGTTCCTCCTTAGGTGTCTTGGACGTTCCTTCACTCCTAATCAGAGATTTTTGGGAGCTGTGCTCTCCGGTGTGCTGCACACACGAAGCAGATGGCACACATGGCACCTCTACTACACATGCAAAGCAACTGTCCTTTCAGTTCCTTCTCTGCCACTGCCGACATTGGTTGGAACCACTCTGCTCTTCAACATAGGCTTTCCCATGTTATTTTTGGATAGTTAGTTATTCCTTTATTCTCTAGTTAAATCATTTCAACTTTATTATTAGTGATAGTTGTAGTTTAAAAAATGTATTGGTTCTTTGCTTACTTAGAGTTAGTTCTTTCCAGCAAACCTAAAATTTTTTACCTGTTTCCCCGGGTTTCAAACAGTGCCTGTCCTGTAGTCTCCAGTGGACATTCCTTCCCAGTGTGTTTGGTGCCAAGGTCAGACACACACCACAGCACACTGTGAGCATTGCAAATAGTTAGCAGCCTGCATGCAGAAAGCAAGGGAGCTGCAATTGAAGTTAATCTCCCTGGAACGTGCAGTAAGACCAGCCTCTGACCCAGAGTACTCTACACTGCTGCAGCAGCCCTCACTAGCAGCGATATTTCAAGTAGGAATAAGGGATCTTCTGGAAAAGGGTTTATTTTCCGCAAGATCCCGTCTAGACTGGCACTTTTCTCCGGCAAAACCCCAAGCCGGAAAAAAGTGGCAGCCATGTTCATGCAAATGCCACGGGGGATATTTAAATCCCCCGCGGCATTTGCAATTCCGAAGTGTCTCATTAGCATCCCTTTTCCGGAAAAGGGTGCCAATGTAGACACAGCCTTAAGGTTCATCTTGCTGTCATAACAGCTCTTCACCATCCCAACAACAATAAATCAGTTTTTGCTCACTCTGTGACTAAATGGTTTTTGAGAGGCATACAGAAAAATTACCCTCCCCACAGGTCCCTCCATTCCTGGTTGGTATCTGAATCTGGTTTTGTGGGCTCTCACAATAAAACAATTCAAACCTCTGGCAACATGTTCCATGGTACAGCTCTCCATGAAATTTGCACTGTTCATAGCACTGATATCAGCCAGGAGAATCAGTGAGATTGGCACTCTCATGTCAGACTCTTCATTCACTATATTTTATCAGGACTAAGTAATTTTCCATCCCCACCCAAAATTCCTTACTTACCTGTATTTTTCCCAAAACCTCATGCCAGTGCCAGGGAGGCTGTATTACACACACTTAACACAAGATGTGCGATTGCCTTCTATTTGGACAGAACTAAACAAATGGACTGTTTGTCTCCATCACGGAGAGATTGTTCTGCATACTGATCTCCACTCAGAGGATATCTTGGTGGAGAGCAGAATGCATTAGTCTACCTTACACTACTAATGGATAGTCACCTCCTTTCCAAATCAAGGCCCACTCAACCGGGGCTAACTCGACTACTATGACCTACTTTCAGGGGTTAGGGTAGAGTGGTACCAGGATTGAATTGATTTTGTGCCTGCTTACTAGAGAAATGTAGAAGCCAGGGGACTCTTGCCACCTCTGAGATTAGGTGGTAGTTGAGATTTGGGTTTGAGAATGACAGTGATACCTCAATGCTGGATTTTGTCACATAAAGGCCTCTCTGTTCTAAACCAGAATCACATGTGCCAACCCTGGTGCCTTTTACATAGGACAAAAGCAAGGAGAAAACATGAACTTTGCAGTCACTCAGGTTACGTCTAGACTGCAGGCTTCTTTCAGAAGAAGCTCTTCCGGAAGAGATTTTTGGAAAAACTTCTTCCGAAAGAGCATCCACACTGTCAAAGAGCATCGAAAAAGCAGTGCACTTTTTCGAAAAAGAACGTCCAGACTGATTGGACACTTTTTCATATGTAAGCTGTGACTACTATGGACAGAGTGGCCACCAGGGCACCTGTGCTTTTTCCTCTTTCCTCTTCTTCTGAAAGAAATCCCTCTTCCCGTCCACAAATGCCTTTTTCCAAAAGAGCTCTTTTGCAAAAAAGCTTCTTTCTCACAGAATGAGGATTACCAATGCCAGAAAAACCCTGTTCTTTTAATTTACCTTTGAAAGAATGCAATTGCAGTGTGGACATAACTCTGGTTTTGTCAGAAAAACAGCTGTTTTTCCGACAAAACTGTCTAGCGTAGACATACTCTCATTGTGCTCTTTCCAGAGAAAATTATAAATACTTAATCCAGGGCCTGATTCTTCTCTCGGTGAAATCAACAAAAGGATTTACATGAGGAGAAGGATTAGGCTCATCAGCTCATACAGTAAATATAATGAAAAGTGTGTTTTGTTTTCCAGATCAACTGAGGGAAGACAAAAGTAAGTATCCTCTGATGGCTGCACTTTGAAGGGGGAAGGACGTAGCATTTCCCTGTGGAGGTAGGCAGGGTTCCTTCAACTGAGTGGGGAATCAGGACTTTTGCACTTATGCAGAAATGAGGAGGAAAATATTTGCAATCAAGACTGTTTGGGCCAATCATGCACAAACGTTCTATAATGGGTGTAGATGAAACGTGTTCAATGACATTTTTCATCGCCTCTTTCTGCTGCATGTGTATTACATCCTCAAGTGAGCCAGACCCAAACTAAATCCCTCTACAACAGGTTTTTCTGCCCTACAAATGATCAGGGTTCAGCTGACCCCCCTGTATCCCTTCACTGTTTACACAAACCTCTTTATTTGGTCCTGGGAGCCGTACTATTGCAATAATGCACACTGCTCCCCTTGCTGTCCCAATGATTGCACAGACGGGACAGTGCAACACAGTGGAATCTTTGGCCTTTAACAGTTATTTACCTTTCTGCCTCACACTTACAAAATGCAGGTTTCTGTGATTATCACTGAATATTTTTTCATTTTCAGAATACCTAGAGAGGATACTAAGTAAGTCTGTATCTCATTTCTTTTATATATAGTCTGATCAATACATACATACCAAATCTTGTGTGGTAGACTTGATTTTTAAACTTCTCTGCTTTCTCCCATCTCCCACTTTTCCCACATAAAAACATCTCTGAGGGTGCATCTACACAGCACCCTAAACTGGAAATAGGATACTCAATTTGCACTTCGCAAATTGTGTATCATATCAAATCTTCTTTTGATTGTATTTCAAGATACTTTATTTCAAAATTTAGCATGTCTTCACAGTCAGATTTTAGAATAACATGCTATTTTGACATATCCCTTAAGCCTCGTGGAACAAAGATTATAGGGATGCTGAAGACCGTGCTAGTTAATTTGAAAAATATTTTGAAATAAGAGGTGCATTTAAAAGACACGGGGTAGCTATTTCGGGATACATCTGGTATCCCGAAATAGTCCCGCTGTCTAGATGTACCCTGAAAGCTTTCTAGATCTAAGAATATTTACTTTTATATTCTGGAATTTTTTTAATGACTTTCCCTTGCTGTCAGTATCCTCTAGACAATGTAACTCTCCAGAAAACAGGTATTTTGTATGAAAATGTGTATATACGAAAATAATTCAAAATTGAAATTGTATATGAAAAATAATTAAACACATAATGTATGCCTATTTTAATTACTGATTCCCATATTAGGTGTGTTGAATTTGGAGTGTCCCCATTGAGCTTTTTGTTATTTAATCATGTTCTCAAAAGGTTGGGATCTGACCTCTCTTCTAGTCTTCTGTGCAGAGGGTTTGGCATATGACTATCCTCACAGAATGACTAGGTGGTGAAGCTCTTACCAACAAGGCTAATGTCTGTACTATTAAAGAGATAAAGGATCCCAGCCACTCTCTACAGCCTGACAATACTTAAAGAAACATTAATAATTTTCTCCTCTTCTCTTCATGATTCTTTTTCAGAGCAAATCCAACAACAAAAGGGTGAGTTTACTGAATAAATATCCAGTGAAAGAACCAAGTCCCTTGTGGGCTCTGACAGTGCCACATGCAGCCGGAATATTATATTAGCACTTCCCAGGCTTGCCAGGAACTTCAGGGTAGCTAACTCGTGTTGCCTTCACTACTGCCCATGCTACTTCAGCTACACCCATAATTTCCAGTGTGGAAGTGTAGCCAGTGACAGACTGCATTTGAAGGTGAGGATGGTACATTCTTATGCTAGCAGCAAAACATTGCCACAGCCTGGGAATTTGAACTCTTAATTGCGTGATTATCTTTCAGTTCAATTAATCTTCTGATATTCAGGAATCTGGCCTGTTTTTGCAGGTTTTTGTCAGAAGATTTTGAAATGTTCTATTGCCCATGTGTGAATTAACAGGCATATAAGAAATGGGAAGAAATGTCTTTTGTAGGGCTGAGAGCAGTAGAGATGGCAGGGTGTGGTCATTAACACAGTTAGTAAATGTTGGAATAAATATTGAACACACTGAGTGAGCCATACTGAGTGTGGCTGATTCATGCTGTTAGTAAATGAAGTATGCACTGATATATTCTTCTCACATCCAAAACAACAAAACTCCAAGTGGTGACAGATAAAGTTTATTCTTTTGCAGAGCAACTGCAGAGAGAAATTGGTGAGTTTCTAAGCAGTATCACTTCATTTTTTATTTCCCCTAGATATAATGTATAGCCTGTATTTGCACCACTCCCCAAATATTCCTTTATGCACCAGTAGACGGAAATGTTAGCTCTGTGAAGTATTGTTCTCCTTTCAGTGGTGTTCCTGTGGGTGCTCCACTCGGTGTCAGTGCATCCTTGTGCTGTTGATCAGAGGTTTTGCCCCTACCAGAGCCCTTCCTGCACTGCACATGCACAGTCACTGCCTCATACTGTTGTGTCTGTTAGTTACGCATGTGGCATGAGCCCCTCAGTTCCTTTCCTATTGTCCTCAGCAGAAGATGAAGCTCATCAGCAGTGAGACCTTTTTCATCTTTAGTCATTTTTTCTCAGTCTAACCCTTTTTGCTTCAAACAAAGTTTGTTTGGAGTTTATTTGTTTTTTTTTCTCCCCTGACTCTCTCCATCCCTATTTGTTCATCATGCCAAGCTTTCCTGGATTCATGAAATGTGACTCCCGCAGGGATCCCATGCCTGTCTCAGACAGGCCTGCTTCCTGCATAAGATGTCTGGGTGAAGGGCATGTTGTGCAGAAGTGCCAGACTTGCCAGAGCTTGATTGCTAGGGCCAGACAGGATAGAGAGATGAGACTAAAGAACATTCTTCTTCGAGTGGTCCCCGTGGGTGCTCCACTCCAGGTGTCGGGTCCCGTCCCGGCGCCGCTGGTCGGAAAACTTCTATAGCCGTAGCCGAGCCGGACCGCGCACGCGCGGACGCAGCGCGCGGCGTTCGCGCCTTTGCAACGGACCGGCTCCCCCTTGTCAGTTCCTCTCACCGCTCGGTCTCTGAAAGATAAAGCAGAAAGACCCGGAGCGGGGAGGAGGGTGGGGCGTGGAGCACCCACGGGGACACATCTCGAAGAACCATCGTTACTACACAGGGTGAGTAACTTCTTCTTCTTCTTCGAGTGGTCCCCGTGGGTGCTCCACTCCAGGTGAAAAAAAAAAGAAGACAAAAAGACAAGAACGAGACATTATGCCTGGGTCACCGGGATTTAAACGGTGCGCTCTCTGCAAGGAAGCCATGCCAGCATCTGACGGGCATGAAGCTTGTGTCAGATGCTTAGGAGAGGCGCATGTGCCACAAAAATGCACTCACTGTGCTAAATTGACTCCGCGGGCACGCAGAGATAGAGATATGCGCCTGAAACTGCTGTTGTGTGACAAAGCTTTATTATGCCTGGGTCACCGGGATTTAAACGGTGCGCTCTCTGCAAGGAAGCCATGCCAGCATCTGACGGGCATGAAGCTTGTGTCAGATGCTTAGGAGAGGCGCATGTGCCACAAAAATGCACTCACTGTGCTAAATTGACTCCGCGGGCACGCAGAGATAGAGATATGCGCCTGAAACTGCTGTTGTGTGACAAAGCTTTACAGCCTCCGGAGCAGCAGGTCTCAAAGTCCTCTATAGGACAAAGGAAGAGATCAGATTCCCCTGAGGCGTTGGGATCAAAAAAGAAGAGAGTTTCTCCCACCCGCTCTCTCCCGCCTCCCTCGCTGTCCCGGGCTGGTCAGGAGCACAAGCCGGGTGTCTCCGGGGCGGCAACGCACTCAGGCAGGTCGCATAAGCCGCAAGCGGCAAGCCGCTCGTTATCGGCACCGGCTCCGCGTCCCGCCGAGAGCACGGTCGCTGCGGAACGCTCGGCACCGCCACAGGGGCTGGAGCCGCGACAGTCTGCCCAGCCGCATCGAGCGGCACCGCAAACGGCTATTGGGGGCCAGGACAAGCCGGCACCGTGCTCGGCACCGGATGCCGCATTGCCAGATGGCACCGGGGAGCGGAACGAACGGGGCCGGCAGATCGCCCCCCACCGTGCCGAGTCGGCACCGGCAGATCATGCTGCTATCGCAGCTGCACCGAGTGACCATCTGCCTGCGGTGCCGGGCAGGATGCTAATGCCTGCCGACAATGCTGGCGAAATTATTCCTCCCCCTACCAGCTGTTCCTTATCAGTGCAAGGGGGAGAGGCTTCCCCTGCCTCAGCAGTCCCGACAAAGGCTGCTAGAAAGTCAGCACGAAGGCATTCAATTTCACCTTCACCTCAGCCTTCAGTTTCTCCTTCTCAGTCAATGAGGGCTAGTCATCCTCCGTTGTCTCATAGCCCAACAATGCCTTCTCCTCGCTGTAGGTCAAGATCTCGTTACTCTGACCATCGGGAACGATATCATTGCTACCGTCGGGAATCATCATACAGATCCCGCTCACCTAGCTACTCCCCGCCTAGATCTTATCATAGGCGGTATGACAGCAGATATTCCTCGCGAAGGTCTTCCCCTGACCATTTTGAATATAGAAGTCACCGGTCAGTTTCGGGATATGGGAGACCTCATTCTCGCTCTCATCACTGCTGCTGCCATACTCCTCATGAGGCACGTCAATCATCTCCAATTCAACACTGGAAGAGGGCATCGCCTAAGCACCAGAATCCTTCGCCTTCAGTTCAGCTATCTGAGCCCGAGGAAGGCCAGATATCGGATACGGACGATCAATTACGATCTGTAACTCAAAAAGATATTTCGACATCTTCCCCAGACGATGCAGTGTTTGAAGGGGATCCATCTCCCCCGGACGACACTAAAGACTTTCAAGACCTTTTTAGGAGAGTAGCCCAGTCTCAAGAGGTTCAGATAGCAGACACTCCAACGAAGCAGTTTAAGCTCTGGAGAAATTTACACCCCAAACAACAATCTAAGGTTGCTCTTCCTATGGACGAGGCGATCCTCCAATCAGCAGCAGAGATTTGGAATACCCCGGCTTCGACTCCACCAACTTCGAAACCGGCGGAAAAGCGTTATTTTATAGCATCCAAAGACTCGGAATTTCTGTTTACTCACCCGCAACCAAACTCCTTGGTCGTCGACGCAGCTCTCCAAAGGGCTAAGAACCCACAATTGAAGAATGCAGGGGTTGATAAAGAAGCAAAGAAACTTGACATATTTGGCCGAAAGGTTTATACATCGGCCACCTTGCTTCTTCGCATAGCGAATTATACAGCTCTGTTGGCGAATCATAGCTTCGACAGTATAGCGAAACTTACAGACCTGTCCCAAAGATCATCGGAGGCGGACAGAGAGTTGTTACGATCGATCCTCAAGGAGGGCTATGCATGTTCAAAGGCCAATCTTCAGATAGCCATGGATATAGCAGATACAGCAGCTCGAGGAGTGGCAACAGCGGTGTCCATGAGGCGCTCTTCTTGGCTCGCCACGGCGGCAGTGCCCAAGGAGTTGCACTCCAAGGTAGAAGACCTCCCGTTTGACAAGGTGAGGTTGTTTGCAGAAAAGACAGATGAGGTGCTTCACACGGGAAAAGATTCAAGAACGACACTTCGGACGCTGGGGATGTACGCACCGCCATTCCGCCGCCGTCGTTATTTTCCATACCAAAGACGGTACGATTATCAGTCTCGGAGGCAAACAAATCGTCCGTTCGACCAGTCGCGACCTAGACAGCGCCCTCAACGAAGGCGTCCACCACCACCCAGGGTGACGGGCACGCCCGCCTCAAAACAGCAAGTTTGACTCCCTTGTCGGGGGCAAGCGCATCATACCAATCGTCATTACACAGACAAAACCCATTTTTCACCACCGCTTACGACCTTACTATCATCAATGGGTCGCAATAACATCGGACAAGTGGGTTCTGGAAGTCATAAGCAGCGGCTTCACCATTCCTTTCACTTCCATCCCTCCCACCACCCCACCCTCCCCGTCCCTTTTCAGGGACCCATCTCACGAGGATCTCCTGCGACAGGAAGTCCATCACCTCCTGGACATCGGAGCGATAGAGAGGGTCCCCGATCAGTTCAGGGGAAGAGGGTTCTATTCCAGATACTTTCTAACGGAAAAGAAAACGGGGGGCTGGAGACCCATTCTCGATCTAAGACGTCTGAATCGTTATCTTCGCAGACAGCGCTTCAAAATGGTGACACTGACTTCCATAATCCCATCCCTCGATGTCAACGATTGGTTCGCTGCCCTCGATTTACAAGATGCGTATTTTCACATCACAATACATCCCGCGCACAGGCGTTTTCTGCGATTTGTGATAGGTCTCGATCATTTTCAGTATCGGGTTCTACCATTCGGTCTGGCTTCAGCACCCAGAGCCTTCTCAAAAACCCTGGCCGTCGTGGCAGCTCATCTGCGTCGGTTACAGGTGATAATATATCCATACCTGGACGACTGTTTAATAAAAGGTGCCACGCAGCGAGAGGCATCGCAGATGGTGGCGACGGTAGAACAAACGTTCGAGTCACTCGGCCTCCTCCTCAACAGGAAAAAATCAACACTTATTCCGACGCAATTCATAAAGTTTATAGGGATAAACCTCGATTCACGCACGGCAAGAGCTTACTTACCTCACGAAAGGTTTCAAGCGATCAAGGATCTCGTTACCATACTAACCAGCAACATGATGGTATCGGTACACAACTGCCTGCGTCTCCTGGGCCACATGGCAGCGGCCACTGCTGTAGTTCCTCATGCGCGCCTCCACCTGAGGGGTCTCCAACATTGGTTGTCCACAGTTTATGTCCCTGTGAGGCACGACATCCAAAAGGTAGTATGCCTACCTCCGCATGTCCAAAGATCCCTGCAGTGGTGGACGAAAAAGCAAAACCTTCTGCCAGGGGTTCCATTCCATCGACAACAACCATCGGTACAGATAACATCGGATGCCTCACTCATCGGCTGGGGGGCCCACATGGGCAGCGAACGAATTCAGGGCAAATGGTCTCCCAGCGAAAGGCGTCTGCACATAAATCTGTTGGAGCTTCGGGCAATCTTCTACGCATGCAAACATTTTCTTCCCCACATCAGAGGTCTGACAGTGAGGATACTGACGGACAATATAGCTGCAATGTATTATGTCAACAGACAAGGAGGAGCACGGTCACGATCCCTATGCGCCGAAGCAGTGCGATGTTGGAACTGGTGCATACAGAACAACGTAACCATAGCAGCGTCGTACTTACCTGGCACCGCCAATGTAATTGCAGACTCTCTCAGCAGGCAATTCCCCACGGATCACGAGTGGGAGATAAGGACAGATGTACTTTCTGTGGTATTTCAGAAATGGGGGATTCCACAGGTAGACCTATTCGCAACATACAACAACAAGAAATGTCGCCTGTATTGCTCGAGAGCAGGGCTCGGCAAGGGCTCTCTCGGCGATGCGCTTCTGGTCACATGGAAGAAGACACTTCTGTATGCTTTTCCCCCCACAGTGCTTATCTCCAGGACACTGGAGAAAATCAGCTTAGAAGCGGCGACTGTCATTCTGCTAGCGCCAGCGTGGCCCAGGCAAGCCTGGTATCCATTCTTACACAGAATGTCAGTTCAACCACCTTACCCTCTTCCTCTTCACCAAGACCTCCTTACTCAGGAACGAGGCACGCTGTTACACCCCAGACTGCAGGCGTTGCATTTGACGGCGTGGCTCCTCAGTGGTTAAAAGGGGATGAAAATCTCTGTTCTGAGCAGGTCAAGACAATACTTCTACACAGTAGGAAAGACTCTACGAGGAACACGTACCTTGCGAAATGGCGGAGATTCGCTAACTGGTGCATTCAAAACAACATACACCCTCTCTCATCTCCTCTACAACACGTTTTGGACTACATCCTTCACTTACGGACTTCAGGGCTGGCACTATCGTCCCTAAGAGTGCACTTGGCAGCCATCAGTGCTTTTCACCAGCCAATAGAAGGTTCCTCGCTCTTCTCCCATGCAATTACAAAGAGGTTCCTCAAAGGGCTCCTAAATTTGCATCCACCACGAAGGGCGCCTTCCCCTTCTTGGAATCTGGATTTAGTATTGGACACCATTATGTACCCACCTTTTGAGCCCTTGACATCAGTTTCTCTGCATATGCTAACAATGAAAACAGTCTTCCTCCTTGCAATTACATCGGCAAGAAGGGTAGGTGAACTGGGGGCGTTGATGGCAAGCCCTCCTTTTACAGTTTTTTCCAAAGATACAGTGACGCTGCGATTACACCCAGATTTTATTCCCAAAGTCTGTTCTTCCTTCCATATTAACGAGCCTGTGGTCCTCCCGACTTTTTATCCCAAGCCTCATTCTTCAACTAGGGACGCTCTGTTTCACACGCTCGATGTCCGACGTGCGCTCTCTTTCTATATAGATAGAACACGTCAATGGAGACGCACTGACAGACTGTTGGTATCTTTGGCACCTAGATCAAAGGGCAAAGCACTTTCCACTCAACGCATTGCAAAACTAATTACTCTTTGTATTACGAAGTGCCACTCGATTAGGAACAAACCTCTTCCTTCTTTACCTCGGGCTCACTCTACACGAGCGGTAGCGACTTCCACTGCCTTTGCAAGGGGAGTCCCCCTTGCGGATATCTGCCGCGTGGCTACCTGGGCCTCTAGCGTAACTTTCGCGCGTCATTATGCCATAACTAGGAGGTGGGTTTCAGATGCCGCAGTAGCCTCTGCGGTTCTGTCCACGGTAGAAGATAATTGACCCGGAGCGCATTCTGGGTTACTGCTTTATACTCACCTGGAGTGGAGCACCCACGGGGACCACTCGAAGAAGAAGAAGAAGTTACTCACCCTGTGTAGTAACGATGGTTCTTCGAGATGTGTCCCCGTGGGTGCTCCACTCCAGGTGAGTATAAAGCAGTAACCCAGAATGCGCTCCGGGTCAGTTATTTTCTACTGTGGACAGGACTGCAGAGGCTACCGCGGTATCTGAAGCCCACCTCTTAGTTACGGCATAATGCCGTGCGAAAGTTGCGCTAGAGGCCCAGGTAGCTGCCCGGCAGATATCCGCAAGGGGAATACCCTTTGCAAAGGCAGTGGTAGTCGCTACCGCTCGCGTAGAATGAGCCCGAGGTAAAACAGGTAGAGGCTTATTCCTAAGCAAGTGGCATTTCGTAATACAGAGAGTGATGAGATTTGCAATGCGTTGAGCGGAAAGCGCTTTGCCCTTTGATCTAGGTGCCAAAGATACCAACAGTCTGTCAGTGCGTCTCCATTGACGTGTTCTATCTATATAGAAAGAGAGCGCACGTCGGACATCGAGCGTGTGAAACAGAGCGTCCCTAGTTGAAGAATGAGGCTTGGGATAAAAAGTCGGGAGGACCACAGGCTCGTTAATATGGAAGGAAGAACAGACTTTGGGAATAAAATCTGGGTGTAATCGCAGCGTCACTGTATCTTTGGAAAAAACTGTAAAAGGAGGGCTTGCCATCAACGCCCCCAGTTCACCTACCCTTCTTGCCGATGTAATTGCAAGGAGGAAGACTGTTTTCATTGTTAGCATATGCAGAGAAACTGATGTCAAGGGCTCAAAAGGTGGGTACATAATGGTGTCCAATACTAAAAAGTCCCTCTATGTACAAGAAGGGCTCAGACAGCTGTGCAGTCCCTTTCCTGAATCTCAAAGTCCCTTGAACTCCACACATTCCTCCATTCCACACACTCATCTGCAAAAGATCATTAAATATCACATGAATTATTCCAGCTATCTGGCCATCCTTTTTTCTAGCTTTTTTAAAATGTAAGTCATGATGAATTTTGCACAATTTAATTAATTTAATGGGTAATTGTTAATCTCATGGCACCAAGGGAAACCCTGGACAAGACTTTACAAGGATGTATTAACTGTTCATTTTTTTCCAGATGAAATGAGAAAGGAATTAGGTGAGTGAAGACCTGTGCACACCCTTGCTGATGTCCCCACTCCCACTGCTTTGATTCAAGAATTTCTCCTAAACAATAAGAGCTAGGGCCACCAATTTGGGATGCAGCTTCCTCTTCTAACTTGAAGCAACGTCAGGATTTGCTTGTGCCAGGATAATCAACTGGAAGCTCCAGGAAAGGGACTGTTTTCCACAACATGCGAAAGGAGAGGTTACTGTTTGAAGGGATGCAATACTAAGCATGGCCGCTGGGGGCAACAAGCTCACAGAGGAGAGCTATCCCTCAGAGAATCCACTGATGGGGAGCTGAGGTGAAAGAAAATACCTCTGCAGCTAAAGAGTGATTGGGGACGAGAAAGTGCCCCAGGCAGTCAGGGGGCTCTTGGGGAGAGAAAAACCTGTTCCAGATGAGACACCTGTTGGCCCCTTCTCACCCCCAGCCTCCTTCACTACCACATCCTCAAGCCCCCTCCCCCCCCGCCACTCCTGCACTCCCTACACCACAAGCCCCCTATCTTGAAGGACCCAGGCAATGCTGGGTAACTCTGCTAGTAGCAATATAAGTGCAGTGAGACTAGCTTCCTGAATATGTACCCAGAGGGTCAGGTGGAATGTTTAACTTGAGCCAACATAGTCACCCTTCCTGCAGTATAGACATGTCACTGTAGAGAATTGCTTTCTATGTCCTGCTTGGTAGGAGTTGGTCAGCTGAAACACAGCCTTTGTTGACTGGACATGCTGAGTGTGTCAATGGAAGATTCATTTTCTGTTTCAGTGAGACGGGAATGTGTAAGAGGGAGTTGGAAACAGATAAAAAATCATAAGAGCAGTTAGTACAGTGAGGTGAGGCATTGGTTAGAGGTGCAGGATGGAAAATATCTCAATCAGCCTGATCAGGACTCCTGCTCTGCTTTCTAATCATAGCTCAAAATAGCCCATGTGCGTGTGTGAGAGTATGTCTGCACTGCAGAATTTTCCTGAAAAATGACTATTTTTCCAGAAAAACTACACTTACATCTACACTACAGGGCTACGTCTACACTGGCCCCTTTTCCGAAAGGGGCATGCTAATTTTAAACTTCGTAATAGGGAAATCCGCGGGGGATTTAAATATCCCCCGCGGGATTTAAATAAAGATGTCCGTCGCTTTTTTCCGGCTTGTAGAAAAGCCGGAAAAGAGCGTCTAGACTGGCCCGATCCTCCGGAATAAAGCCCTATTCCGGAGGATCTCTTATTCCTACTTTGAATAAGAGATCCTCTGGAATAGGGCTTTATTCCAGAGTATTGGGCCAGTCTAGACGCTCTTTTCCGGCTTTTCTACAAGCCGGAAAAAAGCGGCGGACATCTTTATTTAAATCCCGCGGGGGATATTTAAATCCCCCATGGATTTCCCTATTACGAAGTTTAAAATTAGCATGCCCCTTTCGGAAAAGGGGCCAGTGTAGACGTAGCCCAGTTGTGTTCTTTTGACAGAAAGTCAAAAGAATGGAGGGGTTTTTTTCTGATAGCAGTAAACCTCTTTTTACAAGGAAGAAGCCTTTTTCTAAAAGAGCCATTTCAGGAAAAAACATGTGTGGATGGGGAAGAGGGACTTTTTTTTCGAAAGAAGAGGCCTCCAGGAAAAAGCACAGATGCCCTAGTGGCTGGTCTGTCCACAGTAATCACAACTTAAATGCGAGATCACATCCAATCCATGTGGACACTATCTTTCGAAAAAGCAAATCACTTTTTGATGCACTTTTGCTCTGTGAAAGCTCTCTTTCAGAAAAAAAATTTCAGAAGATCTCTTCTGGAAAAACTTCTTCCAAAAGAATCCTGCAGTGTAGACATAGCCTCTAAGAGTGAGTTAGGGTATGTCTACACTACAGCACTAATTCTAACTACCTTAATTCGAATTAGTTAATTCGAACTAAGCTAATTCGAACTAGTGCATCTAGACCTAAAAACTAGTTCGAATTAGCATTTTGCTAATTCGAACTAGCATGTCCACATTGAGTGGATCCTGAACTGAGGTTAAGGATGGCCGGAAGCAGTGCCGGCAGGGCATCAGATTAGGACTTAGAGCATGGAACTGCTGCCTCAGGCTAGCCGAGGGCTGTGCTTAAAGGGACCCAACCCCGACCCCGGACAGACAGTTCTCAGGGGGTCCCCACTTGCAAAGCAGTCCTGTCTTGGAGTGCCCTGAGTGCCC